CGGCGACTGAAGTTGAGCCATCAAGAGGAGAAGAAAGGGAGAATCTTCTAGTGCCACCGGGTTTCACTGTGAATCGATTGGAGGAGGAAGTTCGGGCGGAGGAACGAGGGCAAGTAGGGTGGATGAAGGGACGATACAGAGCAGAAATGGGGGGGAGGGATTTGACGGTGGACTTGGAGTCGGCGGCGGCGGCTCTCCAAGGGGGGCTGAGGATCGTGGAGGATGAGGAGGGGCACAGGCAGGCTAGATTGAGAAGCCAGATGGGCTCTCAACTTTCACTTGGGCTTGGGAATCAAAAAGCCCAAACCAATGAAGAAGGAAGAGATGGGCCACAGCAGCTAAACCAAGAAAGCCTTAATCTCTACCAACATGTCCAAGCAGAATTGGAAGGGGAGGCGGGCCGAAAATTAAAAAAAAGGAAGGGGCTGTCGGCCCAAGCCCCAGCAGGAAGGGAGGTTGGATTTAATGAAGGGGCCTGCTTTAATTTAAGCCCAACCAGTTCTGTTTTTGCAGGTGGGAAGAGTGGAGGCAATAGAAAGAAGAAGGCCCACAAGAACAAGGCTCAGTCAACTAATGAGAGCATCGGGGAAGGACAAAGCGAAATGTCGGCAGCGGTGGTTCGCCATAAGCCACCTCACCTTCCATGAGTATAGTGAGTTGGAATCGTAGGGGATTTGGCCAATCCCTTACAAGAAATTATGCTAAGCGTCTTATTAGGCGTCATGGCCCTTCTATTGTTTTTCTTATGGAAACTTGCAACAGTGAAGAATTCATGGAGGAACATAGAAGAAGTATCAAGATTTTCCCCAATCGAGAGTATGTCGATCCGATCAACTCGTCACGGGGCTTCGCAATTTGGTGGAAGGCGGGTATTAGTATTGATGTAATCAGCAGTGATAGGTATTATGTTGATGTTAGCATTGACATGGGGAAGAAGTTCTTTTGTACTTTTGTTCATGCCCCGACTACAGCTGTTAGTAGAAGGGAATTTTGGGAACACTTAAGTTCCCTTCGGAGTAGTAGGGGAGATAACTGGGTCATTGTAGGTGATTTTAATGCTGCGGTTTATGAGAATGAAAAGGAGGGGAGATGCCCGCTTAGATACGAGAATGTTGAACCTTTCAAAAGGTTCATCTTTGACAATGCCCTCATCGATATTGGGTTCAAAGGAAACCCATTCACTTGGTCAAATAAGCGGACGGGAGCAAACTTAGTCAGAGTAAGGCTTGACCGGGTGTTGTGTTCACCATCTTGGAGAGCGCAGTTTGGTGAAGCGGTTGTGTTTCATGAAAAAATGGTGAGCTCAGACCACTGTCCAATTAGGATCGACCTACACTATCAAGGAAGCAGAAGAAGAACTCCGTTCAGAATAGATGAGAGATGGTTGGAGAAAGAAGAATGTAAGGAGATTGTTTGTAGAGAATGGGATCCGGGTGGGCAATCTAGCAACCAGCTGAGCAAATGCGAGAGAGAACTGAAGGCGTGGTCAAAAGATTTCCATAAGAATAGGATTCTTAGGGAAAATGAAATTGTAAATAGGTTGGATGTCCTCCAGCAACCTCCAAGGATGCAAGAAAATGTGGAGGAGGAAAAGAACCTCACAGAAGAACTGAATAAAATTTGGCTGGAAGAGGAAAGCTTTTGGAGCCAATGCTCCAGAGTCAATTGGCTACAAAAAGGCGACCAAAATACTTCCTTCTTCCATTCCAGCACTATTTTCAGGAAACACAAAAACAAAATCCTTCGCCTAATGGATGATCTGGGGAATTGGGTGGAAGATGAAGCAAGACTTAAGGGTATGTCAGTGGGGTTTTTCAAAGGTCTTTTCAAGGCAAGATCTCCTATTGCTTTCCACCATCTCCTTCAAGGCTTTCCAACGATGGTTACAGGAGAGATGAATGAAGACCTCACTGCGACTATTAGCAATGAGGAGATTAGGAAGGCAGTGTTCTCTTTAGGAGCCCGAAAAGCTCCTGGTCCGGATGGGTTCTCAGGAAAATTCTACAGGAAGTACTGGGATACTGTTGGTGAAACACTTTGCAGAGAAATAAAGGATTTTTTTGAGACTGCATCTATGCCGGAAGGTTGGAATGACACTCACATTACGATGGTACCAAAGGTTGACCATCCGGAAAACATTGGGCAATTCCGCCCCATTAGTTGCTGCAACTTCAGGTACAAAATCATATCAAAGATCATGGCGACCAGATTGAAGAAATGGACCCCGTCCATTGTCTCTAAGCTTCAAACAGCATTCACAAGCGGTCGTCTCATCCAGGACAATATCATTATTGTTCACGAAGTATTACATCATTTCAAGAACCACAAATTGGGCAACAGGAGAGATATGATGCTGAAACTGGATATGAAGAAGGCATATGACATGTTTGATTGGGAATGCCTGGAAACTCTTCTGAGAAGATACGGTTTTAATGATAAGTGGTGCAGATGGGTTAGCAGTTGTATCTGAACTGTTAGATTTTCCGTGTTGTTCAATGGTGAAGCATCGGAGACCTTCTGTCCATCTAGAGGCATTAGACAGGGAGACCCATTGTCCCCGTTCCTCTTCATCCTTATGTCTAATGCTCTCACTTTCCTTGTTGACAAGGCTGTGTCGGAAGATCGCATTAAGGGGATTAAGCTTAACACTAGATGCCCCATCCTCACCCATTGTCTTTTTGCAGATGACACAGTCATTTTTGGAAAAGCTAATACTCAGGAGGCAGGTAGAATCGTGGAGATCATCAATGACTATGGAGCAATCACTGGTCAAGAGGTCAATATCAACAAGTCATCTGTTTTCTTCAGTGCGAATGTTCCAACGGAGGAAAAGAACGACATTATCACTCACATTGGGTTTGCCCCTACCAACTGTCACTCCAAATATCTAGGAGTCCCAACCGAATGGGGAAACTCTAAGAAGGAGACTTTCTACTTCCTCATCCAAAGGATGGAAAAGATGGGGGAAGCATGGAAGAGCCTCCTCCTTTCCCATGGAGGGAAGGAGGTGCTCCTTAAAGCTGTGATCCAGGCTATTCCATCTTTCATTATGTGCCTCTTCCTCCTTCCTGTTTCTCTAACAAAGAAGATGGATTCTCTCCTCAGTAACTTCTTCTGGTCAGGGTCGATGCAAAAGAGCAGCCTACACTGGTGTAGTAAGGAAATACTTTGTGCCCCGAAGTCAGAAGGAGGTCTGGGTTTTCGAAGCTTTAGAGATTTTAATCTGGCCCTTCTGGCAAAGCAAGCCTGGCGACTCCTAACCACCCCTAATGCCCTTTGGAGCCGACTCCTCAAAGGTCTCTACTTCCCTAGAGGTAACTTCCTCACAGCGAAAAAAGGAAGCAAACCATCGTGGATCTGGGCTAGCCTCTGGGAATCCAGGAAAGTTGTCAATTTGGGAGCAGTGAGAGTGATTGGGTCTGGAGACGACTCATGGATTGATCAAGATCCTTGGGTCCCCTCCCTCCATAAGGCAAGCATTCAGAGTGGACCTCAAGATCATATTCGAGTCAATTCTTGGATCGATCAGGAGGGGAGGAAGTGGAATTATGATATGATCCAAGGGCAAGTGTCTTCTTCGGAAATGGATGCAATTTTGAGAATTCCCATTGGGGAAATGGACTCTAAGGACTTCTGGGCGTGGAAATTGAATGAGAATGGTGTCTTCACTGTTAAAACTGCATACCATGCGGTACACTTAGCCTCAACGGAACCCCAAACGATTGCCAATATGGAAAAGTGGAAATGGATGTGGAACCTGGATATCCCTCCAAAACTTAAGTTCTTCGTTTGGAGGTGCGCTAAGAACGGGCTTGCAACAAAAGAGAAACTCTTTCAAAGGAAATGCTCTCCTAACTCGATATGTCAAGTATGCCAATGCCCCATTGAATCTCTCGTCCACTGCCTTTTCTTGTGTGACCATGCAAGAGAATCTTGGACCACTATCTTCCCAACCCTCCCAATTTCGGCCCAGTCTACTGCCTTCCTTGACTGGTTGTACTCTTTAAAGGATGTTATCCACGCAAGAGCCATGTCCCATGTTATCTTCCTCTGCTGGAATATTTGGAAGGCAAGAAATGAGTGTGTGTTCAAGAATCGGATCCCTTGGCATCCGAATGTGATTATGAGAACATACAAGGATCTTACTGAATGGACGACCTGTCCGAGGATGCCCCTCCTTTGCTCTCCTTCTCCTCAGCTAAGGGGAGCCCACTCGCTCACTTCTCCACCGCCAAGCAATCATAATTTTGTGATTCACTGTGATGGGTCGTTCTTAAACGACTCCCAGCCGGCGGCATATGGTGTTGTTGTCATTAACCATCATGGGCAAGTGTGTGACGGGCGAGCTGACACCCTCCTTTGTTCCACCCCGTTCGAAGCCGAAACAAAAGCTCTTTTGGAAGGTCTCAAATTAGCTCAAGAATATGGCACTGAATGTGTTGTCCAGTCTGACTGCCAGACGTTAGTGAAAGCTCTTAATCAAGATTCTAGAAGTTGGCCATGGCGAGGAGCAGCCTGGATTGGAACCATGGTTTCAATCCTGAGAGCAAACCCTCAAATCAAGGTCAAGGCGGTTGCGCGTAAATTTAATGTTAGAGCAGATTGGGTTGCGCGATCACTTGCTAGATCTTCTCTCCCAGATGACTGGATTAGTGTTCTTGATCTAATTTCTGATTTCCTTTAAAGTTTGTAACCTCTATCTTCGTATTGGTGATGGAATAAAAGTTGAACCTTATTGTAAAAAAAAAAATCATTTCCATAGAATAACGACAATAAATGTACAAAGAAAGCAAAAGAATGAAGAAAACCGACATAGCCGGTTGATTGGGGACCGCGCGGGTACAGTGCCCCCACGGTAGAATACTGAATTCTACCTGTAAGATGTAGTTCACAGTCACAGATAACAAAAAGGCACTAAACTCAAACATATGATGCAACGTTTGCACTTTTGTCCGAAAAGTTATAACGGCGTTATTAACTTCCTGACTGTGCACGCCAATGACGCCATGTAGGATGAAGTAGTGGGTCAGGTCAGGTGGCAGAAATGGTGGGTCCCATTAAAAAAATCAAAATTTGGGTGAAAATAAAGGAATTATTTGGCTCTGTTTCTCATTCATCTCGCCAGGTGGCAGAAAAAGGTTGTTTCTGAATTCTCTGGAGAAGTTGAAATCGGAGCTGCCAGTACTAGTTTGGAAGGGGGAGCTGGATTGTAACTCATTGCAGAAGCATTTGGTCCATTGGTCGAGCAAAATTTTCCGACGGCGGATTCCCTATGCAGCCGGAAAGATGGATCAGTGCAGATCTGAAATGTGAATTACGGAGCTCCATGGCGAAGAGAGCCGCTGTGAAAGCCAAGATCCAACGAGAACCCAGTAAGGAAGCCATTATCAATACGCGATAACTACTTGCTGATTGATTACTAGAACACGAGCAAACCCAATCCACCACTTAATTGGAACTTGGAAGCAAATAGATTTTGAAAATGATTAATCGCTTCTCCCTACTATGTCTTTTTACAGTCTGTTGCTTTAAAGTGATGGTATCGCCATGGTTTGGAAAAGGGAATCCTAAAACAGAGAATGGAGATGAGATGGCATTTGCTTGCCGCTTCCGATTACTACAGATCTTTAGTTGCAGGATTGTTTCCAGAATTTTACAGCTAAGAGAGTCTTGGAACTAGCTGGGGTTCTGAGTTCTCTTAGTCTTAGGCGAAGACCAAGTTTTTCTATCAAACCCCCTGTTGCATCTACGGGAAGGGTCCTATGGTCTGCAGTTGTAATAATTAACCTTTGGAGGGAGAGATGTAGAAGGAAATTTGCAGGTATGGAGATGACTGTGTTTGTGTTACAGCAGCAGATACAAGATGAAGTCGGGCTATTGGTTGATGATGTTGAGATTGCTCGGCGGTGGAGGCAGGGGAACCGAAGGAGAGAGCGACGGAGGAGAACGGTGTCACAGGTGGAGAATGAGGGAGAGAGGAAAGGAGTCGAAAGAACGGGTTCTTCAAGTGTTTGACCAATATTTCATCGGTCTGAGTCTCGGTTGGCTTCAAATATTAAATTAGATTTGTTAGTTTATTATTGTTTTGATGATGTAATGTTGACAAGATAAATTTAGCAGAAATTTGGACGGACGGAGAATGATGAAGTTTTGACATGCGTTTTAGAATTTTGCTACCGATTCGTTATAAGTTAAAGATTTGTAATCATTTTGTGACGGTTAATGATAATTACCCATTTTATTACTCTATCCTGTAAACAGTAAGTCACTCCTCATCGACCACAGCCGGTTGATTGTTGACCGTCCCGTAGAATTCCCGCCTCCTACAAAACAAAGAGAACCAATACATATGTTTCTGTGGGACAGGAGCTTAATATGGTAAGTAAAAGTGGCAGAACAGAGTTGCTAACTTGCCATCGGAGTTGTTTTGAAAGGAACAAGTAGTAGCTACTAGCTAGCCATATCAGACAGCATTTACGAAACAGACATTCTTGGCAGTTCATTTCATTCTCTTCTTCTTCTCTTCTTTTCCTGCGAGCTCCTTTCTTCTCTGTTTTTCACGAAAAATGTCTGATGCAGCTGAGAGTCCGGATTTGAAAAACCGGCACTCTGACTTAGCGTCGGGTCTTTCAGGACCGCTGATCTTCCTGATAGTCTTCGCCTGCGTCGTCGTTTTGGGCCTAGGGTGCTGGCTTGTCTACCACTTTTTCTTACGGCAGCAGCAGCAGCAGGTTCAGGGCGGGGACCTGAACCCGGACCCTGCAGGGGTCGCAGCAGAGCTCGAGCTGGTCTCCTCCTCTGAGGAGAGGAGCTTCGCCGACGTGGCGATGGGCTCCAGAGCGAGCCCGGACTGCCCGATCTGCTTGGAGCAGTTCGGCCAGTCGGAGACCGTCTTTGTCCTCCCCACCTGCCAGCACGTGTTTCACCGTGCTTGTGTGGCAGGTTGGGTAGTACAGAGACGGCGGACAGGTCCGCTGACCTGTCCGCTTTGCCGTCAGGGTTTGGAGATCGCAGCACCAGCCGCCACCTGATCGTGTTTTAGTTGGAATGCTACTTCTTAGGAAATGCTAATTGTAGGACTAGCTAGAGCTAGGGGAATCAAAGTCAGTTCGTCAGAGTTAGTACTTGAATATGGTGGGTCTGTTCTGATTTTAGTTTGATGCAGTGCTTAATTGCTTGTAATTAAAGAAAAGCTAGTCTTGTTATCCTTATTCATATTGACTAGTTATTTGGTTCGCTTTTCGCGGCAGGTCTTCCTACTATGTCAAATTAATATAATGTATCCATATTTTTGCATTGTGTTATGGTGATGGAGTGTCTTTCTGACAGCAAATATGTATAGTTGTTGGTTTGAGCAATTTCGTGGGATCTGTTGAGAGGAGACCAAACATGATAGTATATACACAGGACAGAATGCATTCTGATCAGATAGTATATCCACCATGAAGCGTTTCAGAACAGATCAAAAGATAACAAGCTCGAGACCCTGAAGATGGAATACCTGAACCACCCTGTTAAAATGGAAACAAGATCCATTCTACAAAATATAAAAGCAAGGAAACTGTCTCTTCTGCAAGTTGGACCAAACAGTTGTCAGAGTACCAAGAGCCCAAACAAAAGAGAACCACATTTCTACAGGTAACTCAGAAATGAATTCCTCCTCGGCTATACCTAGTAAACAAGCTCAAACACACCCCTCGAAAGCCCTCTGGATTGCAACAACGAAGCTTATATCAAGAGGTTCCAATTCATTCAGGAATTCAGTTCGTCAAGGACCGCTGCGGGAAGTCACTACAAAGAGACAGCAACTGATAATCAGGACATTCTGTAAACAGCTATCAGTGATCGTCACTAACATAAAATGATAGGTTCTTGCCTAACTGCATTCTACCAATGGATTAATTCATTCTTAACATCGCTGCTTAAATGTCCACAGCTTCTAACAAGCAAAATTTTACTTCGACAGTTGAAATGGAGAAGTCATTGAAAGAACAAAAACTGTCCAGAACTCATTGTAGAAGGCAAGAAGGATACATAAAAAAACAGCAAAAAGAGTATTGTCAGCTCCAGATTTAAAGAACATAAATTGGTGGCATTCCCTGAATGGCATTGAATGAATCAAAAATTTCCAGTTCGGACAACTTTGATATGAACGGTGTTATATTAGTGGTCATTCTCGCTTGCCTCCGTGGTCTATGTTGCTCTTGTTCAGCAACAGCTCGCCTTCTGTGAAACCATGGCCTAGTTTGGCCCTTTCAAGCACCCCCTGAAGAGCAATGCATTCTTCTCAATACACTGAAACCAAGTCAAACTCAGAATTAAAATAAGTATATAATAAAAACTGATGATACATAGGTATAATAGCAGTTCAAATGTTGTTACCTGTATAAATCCAGCCAATTGGATCGCATGCTCTTTAAATGTTCTGCTAAACTAAGATGCGAAGGTTACCGAATTCAGCTGACAAAAGTCCATCAAGATGGTTCTTGCTCAAGTTCCTAAAGGTGAAATATAAGCTTAGATGCAATTCCAAGATAACAGTAACGAACTACCACTAAGTCTAAAGTGCTTGCAAAATCATAAGGTACTCTAGATCTCCAACAGAAGTTGGTACAGACCCAGAAAAGCTATTGCTTGACAGATTTCTAAAACAATCAAAAGAACACAGCAAATCTATGAAATACACATTTCTTACAGCAACGATCGATGCAAAACAGGAAATAGGCCAAGCATAATATAGTAACAGGCATAACACATTTCTGACCCTCCTAATCATCACAAATTCAGTTAACCTCGTGAACAAAAGGTTGTAAAATTTAAGAAGCTAGCAAACAATATTAATAAATAATGAGGATGCTTCACCTGACCTCAACCAAGGAAGCGCTCTGGTGAATGGTGATGTATTTGATGCGTAAAACCAAGCCGGGAAGGATTACATCAGGAATAAAGCTCTCCAACTGAAAACCTGCTACTCGCCAGGAAATGAAAGGACACTAATTATTAGCATAAACCGACCAACCTATACATCAAAGACAAAGCAATGCAAGATATATCTAGCATGAATTCAGTTTCACGGCGGAATGGAGAATGCTAAGGACATACTTGCATTCACTGATACACATCAACCCATTCACCATAGTCAATCAAAACTCACAAACTGTGCATACTACCAGCCCCACGTCATCATACATTCTCCTCAAAGAACAGTTACCGTACCTCTTAAAGTAAACAGCACTTTTCTGGCAACTTTCCCAATACACAATCATACTATCAATGATCAAGCTCCTCCCACTAGGTCACATTCACAAGCCAGCAAAGCCGCAATGACCGAGCTTAACACAAAAGCTGAAGAGAATGCTGTGAGAATACAGATTAGTGAATCTACTGGAATGAGATGGAGGAATCAGTGAGGCTGGGTGGAAAACAGAGACGAAGTATACAGCCAATACTCCATTCCAATCACTTGGACAAGTTGGCACAATGCCGCTGAAGACAGCAGCTACAATGCTATTCTAAAAATGGCAGCAGAAAAGCAAATGATCTCTTGCTTCACTTTTTAAATCGCAAGCAACAGGGGCTTTACTTGGATCCACAGCAAATAAACCCTCCTTCACTTCCATAGCAAGAACAGTTCCACAAAGAGAATTCCCATCTTCCAGAGTAAGTTTAGCATTCAACAACAATTCCAGGAGAGCTCTATTTGGCACAACTTCCTGATTCACAATTCCAAACAGTAGCTGGTAAAAGCGGATAGCCTCATTTGCTCTTTCCAACATCTCTATCAATCTCACTGGAGTCAAAAACTAATTTCCGTGTTTTCTGTCAAGCTGCATGAATCATTATCAGGTTATGGAATAAACTGGTATTCTAGCCACCTACTATTAACCAGTTAACTCTAGATTCTGCTTGAAAAAGTTCTCCGCCAGCTGCAGAGTTTGATATTCTTATCTCCTCTGCTGCTGTTTTAACCCGGCGGGAAATAAAGCTCTCTGTTCGACTTCTTGAGCTGCAACTTGGCTAGTTTAAGCTCATAACAGCCCTGTTGCCCGATGATCGACAACTTCCACATCTTCAAAGCAAATCCGAAATCACTTCATAGTATTTGATATAGACACTAGATTAGAGGCCTCAGTAGGATTAATAATCACATTAAAATCACCAATCACCACCTAAGGAAAACCACTCACCTTCTAACTTCGAACTGCTTAGCTTCTTATAAGTGTCTTCCCTCTCCCCCTTCATTATTTTAGTCATACACAAAGGTTACCTAAAATCTTACGACGCCTAAATATGCTGAACTGCAAGTAGTTAGGTTTGGCTATTTAACCAAGTCCCACAATCCTTGGGACATTTTCTGATAATGCTCTGCTATAACAGAACCAACAGCTTGACATGGAGGCTGATAACAGGAACCTAAAGACACTGGCCATCTTGGATCATGGTTCATCAGGTTCTATGAGTAATTAGTTGGATCTAATACTTGCATCTACCCAGAAGAGCAATGCATTCTTCTAAATAGACTGAAACCAAGTCAAATTCAGAATTAAAAGAGGTATATAATAAAAAGTGATGATACATAGGTATACTAGCAGTTCAAGTGCTGTTACCTGTATAAATCCAGCCATTAGATAGCATGCTCTGTAAATGTTCTGCTAAACTAAGATGCCAAGGTTACTGAATTCGGCTGACAAAAGTCCATCAAGATGGTTCTTGCTCAAGTTCCTAAAGGTGAAATATAAGTTTAGATGCAATTCCAAGATAACAGTAAGGAACTACCACCTAAGTCTGAAGTGCTTGCAAAATCATAAGGTACTCTAGATCTCCAACAGAAGTTGGTACAGTCTCAGAAAAGCTATTGCTTGGCAGATTTCTAAAAAATCAAAAGAACACAGCAAATCTATGAAATACACATTTCTGACACCAACTACCGATGCAAAACGGGAAATAGGCCAAGCATAATATAGTAACAGACTAACAGGCATAACACATTTCTGACCCTCCGAATCATCACACTTTCAGTTAACCTTGTGAACAAAAAGTTGTAAGATTTAAGAAGCTAGCAAACAATATTAATCAATAATGAGAATGCTCACCTGACCTCAATCAAGGAAGTGCTCTGGTGATGTATTTGATGCGTAAAACCAAGCCGGGAAGGATCATACCAGGAATAATGCTCTCCAACTGAGAACCTACTAGTCACCAGGAAATGAAAGGAGACTAATTATTAGCATAAACTGACCAACCTGTATCATCAAAGATAAAGCAATGCAAGATATCTCTAGCCTGAACTTCAGTTTCACGGCGAAGTGGAGAATCCTAAGGACATACTTTCATTCACTGATACAAATCAACCCATTCACCATAGTCACTCAAAACTCACAAACTGTGCATACCAGGCCCACCTCATCATACATTCTCCTCAAAGAACAGTTACCGTACGTCTCATAGCAAACAGCACTTTTCTGGCAATTTTGCCAAAACACAATCATATTAAAATGTTCAGAAGTCCAAAAGCAGCTGATTCTAGATACAGTTAGCTTGTTAATATAAACTTGCACAACTTCAGACTCAAAATGTTCAATTAACAGAGAGTTCAATTCTGGACTGAGTTCAACTGATAGAAGCTTGAAAATTGTAGTGAGCTATCAATGACCGAGCTCGTCCCACAAGGTCACATTCACAAGCCAGCAAAGCCGCAATGACCGAGCTTAACACAAAAGCTGAAGAGAATGCTGTGAGAATACAGATTAGTGAATCTACTGGAATGAGATGGAGGAATCAGTGAGGCTGGGTGGAAAACCATGACGAAGTATACAGCCAATACTCCATTCCAATCACTTGGACAATTTGGCACAATGGCTCTGAAGACAGCAGATACAATGCTATTCTAAAAATGGAAGCAGAAAAGCAAATGATCTCTTGTTTCACTTTTTAAATCGCAAGAAACATATTCATCAAAGATTTCATCCTATAGAGTGGAATGTTCATCTTCCCTCATAATACTCTGTATCAGCTCTAACAGCCACCAAATGCGGATAGATGCCCCACTTGCTTAACTAGAACCTCTGCAGAATCTTCCCTTGCCATGCCACTTGCCCCCGACTATCAATGCCCATCCTGTATGTAACCAAGTAAATAATTGCAGCAGTTTTTGCCATAAGCAAGACTCATATTGAGTCTATTGCACTTGCCAAAATTGGCAACCCTTTAGACGATATTTCTCACCCCACACCACACCAAAAGAACCTCCTTGCATCAATATTAGCCAAAAGTAATCTAGCAGTACAGCAATGTTCCAAGCCATTAAGTCCTGTAGCCCTAATCATCCTTCCATCTTTGGCAAAGGAATGATGTCCCAAGTTACCTTTGTCTTACCAGAGGCATCCAATCCCCATGCCAGAGAAAGTCAGAACAGACTTTCTGAATTCGGGAAATCACCTTTTTTTGCAATACATAAACAATCACCTTTTTACCGGCATAAGATAACTTCGTAGCGCACAGAAGACCTGAAAGCCCGCGTTGCAGCAATATAAGAAAAGGAATCGATCTCCAATTGAAAAGAGAGATATAAAACCACAAACCTCGTAACCACGAACGACTCTGAACCTGAACGAGAGAGAAGAAGCAGATTTATGATTGTTGTGAATGGACGGAAGAGACCACGGCACACCAGAGTACCCAAACCGCAGTACTGCAAATGATTGAAATCACCGTAAATCTGAGCTTGAAGACTAATTTCCGAACAGTGATTTCTCCTTGAGATAACCGCCCCAGAGGAAGAGAGCTAAGGGGTTGACGAAAGGTCAATAGCATTCACAGAGATACCGGAGAATGTCGAGGCTATGATGATGTATCCGTGTCCGGTCCTCGAGCGGCGGCTCGGCTCTGCTGCGACTGTCCGCCGGAACTGCGGTACTGCTCATTTTAACTTCTCTTGTCGACGACGGTGGAGAAAGATCACTTTGATGAAAGGAGAATGAGTATGAGCGATCAATTGCGCTCATGTTCCAAGAGCTGGAAATGGGAGCGCACACTATACCATACTAGCTTATAGCTCGGCACTTTGGCCGGCGGAAGGCATTGAGCAATTTGGTAAATTGTAATCAAGGTTATACAAGGTGTATACTTGCGTTTGCGTGTGTTACTGTTAAGGCATTAAACTCTTTGTCATTCAGCTTAAATAGAAAGTAATCATAAACAGCAATAGACGAACACCACGACTAAAACATACACCCAATTAAGTAGAAATCTCTTATAAATAAGCGTGGGATCGAAGGCATAGTTGGCAAATGTAACAAAGCCAACGCCTATACATAATGTTGTTATAGGATCAATCAGTGGCGTACTCAAAATTGTTGGAGAAGCCAACCCGTAGCACAATCTTAGTTATCCACTTTTACACCCCCCCCCCCCCCCCCCACATAAAGCGAACCAATCAGTGACGTACCCAGAATTGTTGGAGAGGTGTATCGTTGATGAAATAAGATAATAATTAAAAATTCAATTAAACTTAATTAAAATTTAATAAATTTAGAAGAAATTAATTCATAAAGTTCGCAATGTCATGTTTAAAACGAACCACGGCGACTTTTCATTTTCTGAAATGTCTGTAAAATACATCCATCGTTTATGTTGCGAAGCAAATCCTTTCGATATACACCACTAAACAATCATTCATAAATTGGTCACTTAACCGATTTCGAATTTGATTCTTTATTATCTTCATAGCTGAAAATGCTCTTTTGCAGCTTCCAATTGCAATAAGTAAAGTCAACACCAGCTTCAAGAGCAAGTAAACTAAATTATAGAAGAAAAAGGGGATGTAGCAGTGAGTCTCGTTAATTAGAAACTAAAAAGAGGTAAGGATGAGTTTTCTATTTCATTTTCATTTTCAATAAAGGAAGGGTCAAGGGGTGGAAACAATGTATTTTTCAGGATAGGGTTATGTATATTTTTTTTTTTTCACTGTTGGGTTGTGGTGTGAGTTACTTTAAAATGAGCACATTTTTTTATACTTACTATTGTTTGTTACTAATTAAAATAAATAACTTTATAACAAGAAAATCATTCTCATATAATGAAGGTGTGTCGCTCACAATTATTTGAGGCGTGTTAGAAGTCTCAAATTAATTTTTGTTACAAAAATATATAAGTCATCCACAAAAATTTTGGCCGAGGATGTGTCGACGACACACCCTGCCCCTTACTAGAACCAATTACTTATGATGTGTGTTTTACTTGGAAAGCATGTTTGGAATCTAATGTAAAACTCATACACTTTAGCGGCACCCTTACTCAAGGAAAAGTATCATCCCGGGGGGGGGGGGGGGGGGGGGGGGGAGGGGAATATAAGCTACCTATGGCGTCAAGGGACATTTCACGCGTCTCATCAGGTTACGAGTTGTCAAATTATGATACAGAACCAAACTCAATATGTTAGATCCTAATATACGAATTCTCAATGTCATCAAACAGGAAATTAATAATCACCCTCAAGATATGATTTGCATATTTGACAACAATCTCATTAATGCATAGGTTCCAAACGTGAGGTAAATTTCTCGTCCCTTCAATCACCTGAAAATTAAGCAAGACTAGGGTTCACTAGAGCAATAGTCAAATCAACAAACCTCCATATAGTTTCAGTCCACAATTAAGGTCAAGACAAAAGGAAAAGGAAAATAGAAAAATGGGTTGGCTTTATCAAACACAGGAAATCTAAGATAACAATCCAACTCGGGTGTAAAAAAAAGTTGTAATAGCCTATCAGACATTG